CCGAAAAGATACACCTTCTATTTGTCATGGCAGTTGTTTGACAAAAATGTCCACGTCCATGTTAGACGTGAACCATATTTCATCATAATTCGTGTGTACAATGATATACAGATAAAGATCGATTTAATATTTATAATTATTGCAAATATGTATAATTAATGTAAAATATTTTACAATAAATCTTTTTTTGTGAAAATATAAAAATTCGAAATAAAATTATATGATTATTTTATTTATTAGCTATATATAATAAATTGATCAAAAATTAACATCGGTTGTACTTGACTTTTTAAAATGTTATTAGCTCTCATAAAACAAGACTGTAACCTGTTAAATTTTTATTTTGTCTATATTACTCATTTCTCATTTATTTCATGTTTTTGTTACTAAATATTGCTTACATTAAGTAATAATATAAAATATTGATGAGATGATTTAGGTGACCAGTACGCATTTGGCAAGTTTACGTTGGCAACGTTACGTTGTTTTCTATATACATTATATATAGACATATAATAATATACAAATACAAATTTGTATACAAGTATATCCAGCAAACAAAATGTAATTTGCTAACAAATTGGTAACAAATTCGATTAAATATTGATTGCAAATGTATAACCAGCATAGCATATCAGCAGACTTTGTTCTATTTTTTAGGGCAGTTTGCTCCCAATGTCAGATATTACAGACTCTGTGTGCAATTTGTTGCTTTTTTGCCATCAAATATTGGTAGCAAGCTTTGCTCAAAATTTGTTTTTGCAGGTTTTGCTATCAGGGTATATACAAGTATACAAGTATAAATTTAATAAAGTTAATTAATTAAAATTATATATTATAGAAAATTATTTTTATTTCTTTCCAGTAAAAAATTAATTTTATTTGTTTATTTCACGACGTCGTAATATAGATCACGCTCTGTAAAAATTGTTCGCTATCATTATTTCAATCCCTTATATCCGTTAGATCCCCATCATATCCCTTTTCTTTTCATCCTTTGTGCTTCATCTCTGCGACATTGTTTCCATTCTAATAGTATTACGTTGTTTTCTAATCCTCTTATTTACGCTTTTTGCTAAAGTGGTGATGAAATCACTTCGAAAGTGACCATTGGCACAGATAATCGCTATTTGTCATATAGATCAGGGATCGGCAAATGCATGGGCACTGCGGG